GTAGAATTTTTCACCATACTATTCAAATAAAAATTATTTTTGTTAAATATATCGTACGGTTTAATCAAATATAGTTCAAATATTATTTAGTGCTGATCCTCAAAAGCTATCGCCTATTTTCTCGGGTAAGCAAAAATAAATAAAAGTGTTTTTGTATATTTTTTCGGAAATGAGGAACAATATGCTTTAGTACTTTCTGAAGGTTTGTCTTTTTCTTTTGGACATTAAGTAATGCAATTTCATAATGTTTGTATTTTATATTTATGGCAAATCTACCAGGGCTACCTGTTCTGTCCTTAATTTTGATCCACCATGTTAAATGACGAAACCTGCTAGTTATGTTTTGATTCAGAAGAATGGGTCTGAGTCTGAGGGTAACTATGGAAATTATGTGAATATGTTTACGTTGTATCAGTCGAGAAAAGTGGTCCATTATGGTGTAGGGCTTTGTTTGCTTGCTTGCTGTGTTTAAGAGCTCTGAGAAATGTTGCACTGTCTTCAGTAGGGCATAACATATAAAACACATCACTTTCAGCATTATAAATATATCACAGCAACACCTCATACCATTTTTAGTAACAGATAAAAACATTCTAGAGTTTGCTTTGGCTAGCCGATAAGAGTGACCCGATTCCACTTAAACTGCTCTAAAACATTCAGAAACGCTACCAGAGGATCATTTTCTACATTCTAACTATATCTGGAATTGTTTTATAAGAAAAGTGTTAGTTTGTTCTACCAACTTCACTCTAACGGTTAGTGGGTGCGATAAAAGTCAAAGGAAGGCCCAACACTCTATCGAAGTAGGGCCCAGAGGAAAAACACTTCACTTTCCTTTCTAAACTTGAGATGCCCCAATACTTGTGTATATTTTGGAGACGTCTATACATTGATTTCTTTTCAGTTCCTTTTTATGAAATTATCTAATACTTAAGTGTTTTCATACTTAAATGTTTAGAATAATTTCATGGAACATCTTATTTTATTTTATTTCAGGATTTACGCGTAAGGCTACGCAAAGGACTTGGTGTGCATAATTGTCTCTAATTTTGAAATGATAGACTAAAGGGAAGGGATCTTATCAATAGCACCCACCACCAACCCTTGGGCTATTTTTATCTAACTGAATGGTGGGATTGGACGCATCTTTGCAACGAGACGCGAAACATAAATTCTCGATTTTATAGTCCGATCACGTGATCCACTTTGCTTTCTCAGCATTCTCTACGTTATATAACGACAGAAAAAAAAAGTTATTTTTCTTTCTAAAAAATAATTTTAAAGTAATAACACCCATATATGTTGAAACTGTTAACCTCTAATAGTTACAAGTACTAATCATCATATAAAAATATCAGTGATCAACTTGAACGAGGCGTATTTCAAGACAATGTTTTTCAGTAAAGAATTTGTATCTTGTATTTATGGCAAAGCTAGTAAGGCTATTTCCCGCTGTCCCTAATTTTGAACTACTGACCAAAGGGACAACAACGAGTCATCCGCTGTCCACGCTATGGAATGGACAGCCTAGAGTGCGGTTAATATTTTTTTGGTGTTGCATCGATACAAACCCAATTAGCCAGCTTCGAAATCCACAGCTCTACTATAGGGCCAGTCCATTAAATAGAAACGCATTTGCCCGAAATATTGAATGTCACCCTCATCATAGCATTAAATATTTTCTCTTAAAAGAATTATTGTTTTTTCCGAAAACACTGTTTGTGAAACTTACTGATTTGGCTGCGTTGCTTAAGAAAATTATATATTCTGTAAGAGACGCAGTTTTTTTTTATTGAATTACTGTCTCAAGTATACTGGTGTTGTGTCAAATGTACCTGATTTTTGAATGTTACGTTTTATTTCTTTTCTAATTTTTCTGTGATTCTTATTATACAATAGGCAGATAGATGTAACATGTATTGCCCAAAATGAGCTCCAATCACACCCTATAATGTTATTCCGAATTTTTTATAATTACAAAATCAATTAGATCAGATTCTTATTTGTTTGTTTGTAATTAAGAAAAAAGTTACACAGTGGGCTATCTGTACTCTGCCCAATATAGGTATCGAAACCCGGCTTCTAACGTTGTAAGTCCGCAGACATACCGCTGTGTCACTGTAAATCAAATAAGTGATGCGTTATTAATCAACTATGTAAAAGTAATGATATTGTTGAAAAAAGGTAATGTGTAAACAATAAAATATTAAGTTGATTTGATTGTTTAGTGAATCACTCGCATGCAACGCAAGTACTGTTCCTTAAATGAAATGAAACCCATTACGTCATAAAGTATTTATAGGGTGAAGTGAATTATATTCTATTAAAAAGGGATGTCTATAAACACGTTTTATATTGATAATATAGAGTAATATGATATATAGCATCTGTTAACCTGTTCATTTCAACGGAAGAATGTTGATTACTGTAAAGAAGCCTTTTCAGGAACCATATTTTATGACAAAATGCCGCAGGTAAGCAGTCAACATCTAAACAATTATTACTACTGTTCGTTTATAGTTAAGCACAAAGCTACACAACTGGCTATCTGTGTTTTGCTCACCACAGGTATCAAAACTCGGTTTTTAGAACTGGAAACCCGCAGATATGCCACTGTGCCATTGGGGGGGGGGGCAATTACTAAAGTACATGCACAAATATTTCCTTTTGTTAAGCAACGTTTGGAAGAACGTTTTTATTTAGTTTTGTTATCATTTACTCATTTGATAATTTATTTCTCTAAGATAATGCATTTTGTTCACGCATTTACGAAATAATAAACTTACAGAAATTATATGCCACTTTCGTTTCTCATGATTTTCATATGTTTGTGTAAGTTGTAGTTCAGATCAGAAACAGATTTTAGATTTCGTAACAGAAGTATGAATTTGTACCAACAAGTCAATTTTAAGCAAGAAAATATTCAAACATAGCTTGATATAATTTGAAATAAAACTTTATTCAAGATTGTCTTAAATTACAATCAAATTAAAAATTACAAAAAATTTCACCGGTAGTTTTAATATATACTATGTTATGAAAGAAACAAAAAGTGTGTTGTCTTATTAAAACATGTAGAACTCTAATCCTGTTTTATATCAGTTTCGAGTTTTAACAATTTGTTAATTTTTTACTTCCTCTTGATATATTTTAAACTGTTCTGAAAGTCTACACATGGTCATATATCACAAAAAGGCAAATCTAAAAAAGGCTGCATCGCTTATCAAACGTACATCTTTCTTAGGATAATAAATTCAAAGGAATTGAAGCCTGTTTATCTAAAGAGTAGTAAACAACATTACTTGATTCATTTGTTATTTTTAATATTGATTTGAAATGTTATTCATAAATGAGCATCTAATATTTGGTACCAATGTATATTCCAGAAAGACATTTTTCCTATTACAGGTTTTGTTTGTTGATCAGAAACCTAGTGGAGAATGACACGTTTTTGACTTATTACAGTGTTTCACATTAGTTATTTTTAATTTATGAAATAATATTATTTCAAAATGTACCTTAAAATGTAAAGAGTTAAGTCTAGCTAGACATATTAACAAGAGACATCCAGGGCTAAACCACTAAAGCTAAATATCTGAAGGGACATTCACATCTACTGTGTGTGAAATCGTAAATTAATGCATGAGCCTGAATAATAATAAACATTTATGACAAGAAACGGAAAATACTGACCCAAATTTCAACAAAAGATCAATATTGGTTGTGTTAGTGAGTAGTTGACACTTTATAATTGATAAATATTTCTTCTTATTCACTATGCAAGGCGGCGATCTATCTTCTTTCTCTTTTTTTTTGTTTCTTTTTTTTTTTTTACAGAGCTCCTACGACTTGAACATGCGTAGCGCTTCTCAGCAGGATAGCTGGGTCACGACTGAAACCACACATTACTTCCGAGATTCACCTTCTTTAATGACCTAGAAAAGTTCATCTCAGACCATGGTGCTCTTCTTGCTGAAGGCAATTCTAGAACGTATATAAGCATAAGTCATCCACGAATCAGATATGTTTTCCAATAAAGTCATTAAGACTCTAAGATACGTTCAATTTTTTTGATGTTTCAGAATTTCAATGGCGATGAATGAAATGAAAGGAGTAAGTTTACAATTCAAGTCATATTTTATTATTACGGCCTCAAAGAAATTGTTATTTGTGAATTCACTTCACTCGCCTTATACGAAGATTTTTTTATGAGTTTTAAATGATGTGTATAACTAGTTTTAGAAGAGTTATCATCAAATATTACTTTGTGGAATGTTATCGTTAGTTTATTACATAGAATTTGTTTCATTAATTTCTACATTGCTTTTTAGCTCTAATCTAATAAAAGTTAGTTTATTTTTGGTCAGACGCCATACATAATTTAAAAATATAATAGTTTTCTGTTTATCTTGGTGTGTTATTTTAGGTAGAGCATACTAAATCACCTATATCACTTAAAATAGCCAAATCTTCCCTTTTTTAATATGTTAAGGACAATGGTGTGTACAATTATAAACTATCATCGATTCACAGACTATAATGTGTTGTTGTAGTTTTAGAGCAAAGCTACAAAATGGGCTATGTGAGCTCTGTCCACCTTTGGTAATTGACCCTCTGATTATAGTTTCAAGTTCGTAAACTTACCTTTGGCACACAGCAGGACACTATAATGTGATTTGGATTAGTGCATTACTTTAAATTTAAAATACTGCAGTACAATTAAGTTTATAGCATTCCATAAACGCAACAACATATTATATATACACACGTTAAATTTTAAAAAATAACACTAAAACTATGATGTTGTTAACATATTAACTTAAAACAGTTGTGTATATATTCTTACAACTTAGGTTCATGTTCAATTCGCATGAACAATAGAAGATAGAAAGAAGTTCACAGTAAATGAAATAGAATGTAAATTGAGTTTTGGAAAATTAAATCACAACTAAATGTTATTATAAACTATAATTTATTTTCTGTCCTATCTGTAGCTGTCAATGTCTGGACTCATTTTGTTGGTTCTCGTTCAAGCGAGTCACCAGACAGGATATGTTCAATCACAAAAGAAACAAATTACGCAAGCCAAAGTTCAAGTAATATATGTGCCTATAACAATACCTCAGGACACTGGAGATTATAGTGGAAGCAGTGTGATTAGTAACTATGGAGAAGGCAGTGGTGAAAATGGTTATGTTGGAGGCAGCGCAACTGGTGGTTATGGAAAAAACAGTGGTGGGAATGGTTATGGTGGAAGCAATAGGTTTCAGGGTTATGGAGGGAACAGTGAAAATAGTGGGTTTGGAGGAAAAGGAAGAAGTAGTGGAAGTGACAGCTATGGAGGAAGTATTGACGATAATGGATATAAAACAAGGAGTTTATTTGGAGGTTATGGAGGAAGCAGTGGAAGTGGTGGTTATGGGGAAAGAAGCAAAAGCGATGGATATGGAGGAAGAAGCGGAAGTGTTGATTATGAGGAAAGCCGCGGAAACGGTGGTTATGGAGGAAGCAGTGGCAGAAGTGGCCTTGGAGGAAGAAGTGGAAGTAGCAGTTATAGAGGAGGACACAGTGGCAGCTTTGGAGGAAGTAGTGGAAGCAGCAGTTATGGAAGTAGTAGTGTAGGTGTTGGTTATGGAGGCAATAGCTATGGTCGAAGCGATGGAGAACAGAGTGTAATTGAAGGTTATGGAAGAAGCAAGGGAAGCAACAGTTACGGAGGAAACAGAGAAAGCAAAGGTTATGGTGGAAGTAGTGAGGGCAGTGGTTATGGAGGAAGCTATAGCATGAGCAGTGGAGATGCACATGGAAGCAGTGGCGGTGTAATATATGAAATAAGCAGCGGAAGTGGAAACAATGATGATAAAAGTTATGGCATAAACAGAGGAGGTGGCTACGGTCGACAGGGTGATGGAATAACATCCATAATCCCCATAGTAATTGCCCTGAAAACAGAACACGATAGTGCTGGCAATCTTAGAAGCACTGGTAGCTTTGGTGGAAACAAAGATGTCAGCAGCATCGGTTATGGAGTAAGTACAAGTGGTTATGGAGAAGACAGCGCTGATGGAAGTGACTACGATGGAGGAAATAGTGGGTACTCTGGAAGTGGTTTTGAAAGTTTTATGACCTTTGGAGGTGGTGAATATTGGTGATTTATTTGTCCAATTTATCTTCAATGGAGGTGAATATTGTATCTTCTACATCTATGTTTTATTTGTATTATATGATTTGCTTGAACATGAAAAAAATTAATGCTTGTACAATAAAAAACAGTTAATAATAAAAACTATTCTTTTGTTTTTAAGCATGCCCTCTTAATTTTGATAAAAGGTGTTAGTTTTCTTAATCTACTGTAGCCCTAATTCTCAGTTGCATACAACAATTAACTCATGACTAATCTATTATTATAGTACTCAGTTTTTTCTGTCCTGAAAATGCGCGCGCACTTCACTATCTAAATGAGCATGCACGCACACTTCATTTCAACGGATGTAAACAAAAGGCGGATGTAAATATACTTTAGTAAACATTTTGTACAACAACATATTGAAAGGTTATCAAAGTTCTAAAAAATTCTAACATTAGTTCGTAGAATAACATTATAAGTTTATTTATTGATAGTATTAAAAAAAGATAAAGTTTAACCTTAACTAAACTAAAGCGAGAAATGTACACAACAGTGTTAATTTAACCCTGTATCGAAAAAAAGGCCGTACTTAATAAAGAGTTATCTAATGTTAGAACTAAGACATATCACTTATACATTCTTTTTGTATTATTCTAGAAATCCTGTAGTTAAAGAAGTACTGTTGCAATAAAGATTATAATTTGGCCGCAAATGTTTAGCGGGTCTCTGCTCGTATTTCGTAACACTTGCTACAAGTAATCACGACATAATTGAAACCTACATTAAGAAAGATCTAAAAGAGACTTATAACGGGACAACTTATGCCCATTATGCCTCTCAGATATTTGAAAAAATAAATTACTATAGCCTTTTGTACTTCTGCGCTCTGCCCACCGTAATAAATCGTACTCTGGATTTTAGTATTGTTGGTCCATAAGCTTTCAGTTGACCCTCCGAGGAAACCTTGGAAAAAATTATATTTAAGATTAATAATGCATGTACTCAGTAAAAGTGCATAATAAATTCAATAAAGCTACAAGTGATTTTTTTTCGTTTACTCATTGCCTTAACTCCATTAAATCTACTTCTGCTCTTAGTTTTTTTTAATCAGGTTTGTTTTAGTGGTTAGTATGTTTTAAGGGCTAGGTTACTAAGTGTGTCGCTGCTGGATATGGCCCACATCATATTTTCAATATGTTTGTTTGTTTGTTTTTTAATTATGCACAAAGCTACACAAGGGCTATCTGTGCTCTGCCCACCACAGGTATCGAAACCCGGCTTCTAGCGTTGTAAGTCCGCAGACATACCGCTGTGCCACTGGGGGGCTTTTCATTATGAAAGAGACAAGTCAGTATCACGACTATGGGTTCAAAAAAGCTAAACAAACCCCTTGTGGCAGCAAGCATTGCTCATTGACTAGCTTCTCTGTAATTAGTACTACTCATAAGGCTTCTTTGAGATTTTTAAAAACTCGAATTGATTTTATTATTTTATTTTAGAACGTTCTTGCCCTTTCAGCGTGGGGGGTGTTATAGTGCGACGGTCAATCCCATTATTCGTTGGTAAAGAATAGCCCAAGAGTTGACGGTTGGTTATGCTTACTAGCTGCCTTCCCCATAGTCTATCACTTCAAAATTAGGGATGGCTAGTGCAGATAGCCCTTAAGTACCTTTGAGTGAAATTCAAAACAAACCAAATAAAATAAATACGTCAATTAATACTTCTACAATAACAAACAGCATGAATTAAAGTTTATATTTCTGGTTTGATAATGAACAAGGCAGACTAAAATAAAAGAAATACATCATGTTATAAACATAGGAATCAATTTATTATCATTATCCACTACAAAGAAGTAAAATGAACAATTTCATAACCGTTGTGAAACAAAACAAAACAAAAAACGGTGAAGGGTTAAAACCGTAAACTGTACATGTAACCTAATAAAGTGATCGGAAAGTGAACTTTTAGAATGGTAAATTAGCTACTATACTGTAGGGGAGATCGGGGCTGGTTGGCCACTGGGGCAGGTTGACACAGTGCCGATAAAATTCATATGGGGAAGTTGATAGTCATGATATCATGACCACTTGTACATCCAAACACTTGTCACTTGCTGTTGTAGTTTGGTCGTCATCGGAAGCTACTGTCGTATGCAGGAGTGAAAATGAAATATATTCACATAAGTAAATTAATATTTTATAATGCAAGGATTTTATGTTAGATTAAATACGTTGCTCAGAAAATTTACGTTACGTAATAAGTGAAAGTGCATTCTTTCGGCTATATAACGGTACATAAAGTTGTTTGAAAATATGTTTGTTTGTTTTCTGAATTTCGCGCAAAGCTACACGAGGGCTATCTGCGCTAACCGTCCCTAATTTAGCAGTGTAAAACTAGAGGGAAGGCAGCTAGTCATCATCACCCACCGCCAACTCTTGGGCTACTATTTTACCAACGAATAGTGGGATTTGCCGTCACATTATAACTCCCATATGGCTGAAAGGGCGAGCATGTTTGGTGTGACGGGGATTGATAACTATGACTGGGACGGCAAATACAAGTCATTTATAGCAAAATCGCGGTTTGGGGATCGTGGACACATTTCACTTGTAGCAAACTGACACGCGTGTCAACCAGCCTTAAAATATGGAACTTGCATGTATTTGTTGCGCACTTGAAACAAATATAGATATTACACGAAGATACTTAAATGCATTTTGATTAATTATGATTAACATCTGAATAATGAAATATTTAACTAAAATTAATTACAATATAAAATTAATTACAATTCTTGGAAATTCCTCTTTGCATTGCTCCCTTTCCATTATCTTTTTGTGATATTGTTTTTCAAGTTTGAATTTCAAACTGTGTTTGTAGGATTATGGTAAGAAACAGTTAAAGTGTTTTGTATTTCATTTACTTAATAAATATGTGCAATAAAGATGTTGATGTAAAGAAAGTGGTTTTGATTTAATTTCCTCTGTGTCAACTTATCCCAGAGCATGTGTGTCAGATTGTGACGTACTCCTTGTAGATTTAGACATAGAGCACACTATCCTATTATGTTTCTTTCTGAGAAAATTAACAAAGAGTTAATGATTTGTTTTTGTTGTGTAATAGAGGAAGGTGTTTAGTTTATGCTGGTATTGAAATTTCTTATCTTTAAGTCTGTGACGAATTTATTATTATATATGTTAAATATGTATTGTTATATGTAAAATATGTATTGCGAAACTCCTGTCTATTCTCCAAAGTTGTAGAAGATTCTCGACAGTAAGAATCAACAATATATGTGTGTACATAAGCGCTTGTGTTAGCGTCAGTATTGTTAGGTAAAACTAAAAGTTCGAAAACGCCTCCACACGCCTATAAATATAACCAACGCGACGCACCAAAAGAGAGTATCTATGATTAGCTTGCTATAGTCAGTGTGCTATAAACTTCGGAACCTATAACCGTGATCGTTATAACGCTTATCAATCGTAAAACTTTAGATATTTGACCAGGAGCATTTACAAAGTTCGAACATTACAAATCATTTAACTTCAGTAAATTCTCATCGGACATTAGTACTTTTACGAACACATTATATAAATTCATCGTGGAAAACTCGGCGCGTGTGGCTAGTGAATAACGCAGGACAGAGCTAGCTAGCTCCCCGTTAAGCGAATCGCACCTACATCAACTCGCTCATCGTGAACCCTCGATAAGATAGATATCAAGGAAGTTCCAGACTAGAAAGAAGACTTTATATTGCTTGTAAGGTTATAAAACTTTTGTATATAAATCATTGTGTGTGTAATAAATACTTGTAATAACTGTTTGCCCCCAGTGGCAGAAAGGTATGTCTGCGGACTAACAATGCTAGAAACCGAGTTTCGATACCCGTGGTGTGCAGAGTAAAGATAGTCCATTGTTTAGCTTTGTGCTTAATTTCAAACAAACAAACAATAATAACTGTTATTGTAAATTATATTGTTTTTTGTATATTAAAGCATATTTGTATTAAAAAAAACTTTGTGTATCAATCTTGTTGGTAAATACCATCAACTGACTATATATCGGCTTTTACTTAGCTGCTAAATCCAAAGTACAATTTAACCACTAAATTTAAAGTATTATTTAACTCAATTTCAGTATATTTGAAATTGTAATATTTGGTTGTTTTTTTTTAATTTCGCGCAATGTTAACTGCACTAGCCGTCTCTAATTTAGCAGTGTAAGACTAGAGGGAAAGCAGCTAGTCATCACCACCCACCGTCAACTTTTGGGCTACTCTTTTACCAACGAAGAATGGGATTGACCGTAACATTATAACGCCCCCACGGCTGAAAGGACGAGCATGTTTGGCGGGTCGGGGATTCAAACCCGCGACTTTCAGATTGCGAGCCGAGTGCCCTAACCACCTGGTCGTGCCGGGCCAACTTTAATTTAAAAACTGAAAAAAAAAAAACCGCGAGTTAACTAGTCTCTGTCTCCCCTACTATATTTTATACGAACAACTAATATGTATGCCAGTACGTGTTACAACTGCACCCAAATCACAGTTAAACACAATATCATAAACACGAAGATATATTATAAATATTAGTGGAGTTTGTGCTGTACTTGCGAATGATATATAGCTTAATTGAAATAGTTATGATAAATCAGCTCGTTGACTAGATGTGAATGTTGTAAAACATACCGGTCTTAACTGAAATAGACGTGAGATTTAGTTCACTGATAATACGTGGATGTTGTCAAGCGCCTACAGCTTAGCTGAAATAGGTACTTCATTCAGTTCAACGAAATGCGACTATTGGCATTGAGGTTACCCGAAATTATCATGACATTCTGAGCACTAATAAATGGTTGTTGTTAAGGGCATAAAGTATAAGGGAAATTATCAGAAGATTCAGTTCACTAATGGCTACATCATTCACATCAGGAATAAACAAAAAATGGTAGGTAGACTTTCTATATGAAAATGGAAAGTTTCAAAAATAACATAGTTAAAAACTGATTTAAAAATAATTGGTATACAGGTCTCTTCCCCTTTCATGCCTGTTATTATTATGTTATCTCTGTCCTTTTACACAAGCACACTTTTA